ATTTTTCACATTATAGAATAAATTCCTAGAAGATAATTGGAATGTGCATTTAAGGTTTTGATTGTTGTTGTTGTTGTTATGTGCTGTGGAGTCGGTTCCGACTTATAGCAACCCTGTACAGGGTTTCCAAGGCTGTAAATCTTTACGGAGGCAGAAAGCCTCATCTTTCTCCCGTGGAACAGCTGGTAGTTTCGAACTGCTGACCCTGAAGTTAGCAGCTCAATTCGTAACCACTATGCTTCCTAGAGACTAATAATTATATTCCAACCAGCCATGCACTGAGAGTGCCTATTTCCCGGTTTCTCAACACAAAGTATTTTTTATCTTTATCAGTCTGATAGGTCAAAAATGTTATCTTATATACTTGAACATTTTCATTTTTAACAAGTTACAGATTTACAGAAAAAAAGTTCCAAGCATAGTACAGAGAATTCAGTATGCCTCCACTCAGTTTCTCCGGCTGTTAGGATCTAACATAGCTCATACATTTTTCACAGCTGCTGTTGTATGGTGTTAAATCCATTCTAACTCATAGGGGACCCCATATAACAGAATAGAATCATTTCCTCAGCTGTAATTTTTATGGGAGCAGACAGCCAAACTCCTGCTTCTGGGTTTGAACTGCCAACCTTTCGTTTAGCAGCTGAGCACTTACCTTGTTAACCACCACAGCTAATGAACCAATATTAAAAATCCTGTTACTATCTAATGGACTGATTTCTAGTGGTGACCCCATGTATGTTAGGAGCCCTGGTGTAGCACTGTGGAATAAAGCACTGGACCACAAATTTGGTTTGATCCACAAGGCCGATGGTTCAAACTCAGCAGCTGCTCCTTGGAAACCATATACAAGGTCACTGTGAGTTGGAACCAACTCAACAGCACTTAACAACAACAAAAATGTTTGTTAAAGTAGAACTGTGGTTCATAGTATTTAGTTAATCAATTTGGTGGTGGTGGTGTGCCATGAAGTCTATTCCCACTCATAGTGACTCTGTATAGGGTTTCTGAGGCTGTAAATCTTTACAGAAGCAGAAAGCCTTATCTTTCTCCTGCCGAGCTCCTGGTAGACTCAAACTGCTGACCTTGCAGTTAGCAGCCCAACTCATAACCTATTGTGCTTCCAGGGCTCTGTAACCAATATTGTTGTTAAGTGCCGTCAGGTCCGGTCCGACTCATAGCGACACTGTATAAGATTTCCAAGGAGTGGCTGGTGAGTTTGAACCGCTGACCTTTCGGCTCATACTGACCTTGCAGTCCAGTGCTTATGCTACGGTGCCACACTAGCACTCCATAACCAGTATTGGTTGGTTATGTGCCGTGGAGTCAGTTCCGACTCATAGTGACCCTGTACAGGATTTCCGAGGCTGTAAATCCTTACGGGAGCAGAAAGCCTCATCTTTCTCCCACGGAACAGCTGGTAGTTTTGAACTGCTGACCTTGGGGTTTGAAGCCCGATTGGTAACCACTACGCTACCAGAGCTACTTATAACCAATATTATTGTTGTTGTTGTTGTTAAGTGCCATCGAGACGGTTTCGACCCATAGCGACACTGAACAGGGTTTCCAAGGCTGTAATTCTTTACGGGAGCAGATCGCCTCATCTTTCTCCCGAGGAGCAGCTTAGTACACAATTATTAACTAAAGTTCCTGGTTTATTTGAATTTCCTCAGTTTTAACCTACTGTTCTGTCTCTGTTCCAGGATTGTGAGGATGGCGCAGGGGTCGGCAGTGTTCCCTTGTTGCACATAGGGTTGCTATGGGAGAGGACCTGATAGCACCTAACAACAATTACAGGATACCACATTCCGTCTACTTACCTCCTCAGGTTCCTCTTGACTAAAAGTTTCACAGACTTTGTTTGTTTTTAATAACCTTGACAGTTTTGAGTTCTTGTCAGGTATTTTGCAGTTGATGTATTTAAAATTTTTCATCTCGTTTATAAGTGAGATTGAACATCTATCTTTTCAGACAGACACACAAGGGTATTTGTATTTCCATTTCTAGTAATTAAGAACCGGTGCTCTTAACCACGAAGCTTTCTTGATTTTCCATAATTATCAAAACATGGGCCAGACAACATGTGGATTTCTGATGCTGAGTTGAAAGTTTAGAAGCCTCGGTTACAGTGTAGAGAAGCATTTGCCGAAGTGACCTGGGGCAGATCGCTTAGTTTATAGACTGTGGTGGATGCGCTTGAGGCGTAACCGGAGGGCAGATAAATAGAAGTAAATTCGAGATAGGATCCAGGATTTAGTGATATTGGATAAGAGAGATGAGAATTCAAAGGTGACTCCTGGGTCTGCCAGCTGGATATCCTAGGTTTTGCCTTTAACTCATAAAAGAAATTCAAGATAACTTCTGGAACAACTTACAGTACCGGTTTCTCTTTCCGTTTTGTACTGCAATACTGGTGATGGTTGTGTGCCCTGGAGTCGGTTCCGCCTCATAGCGACCCTGCATAGGGTTTCCGAGGCTATAAATCTTTACGGGAGGAGAAAGCCTCATCTTTCTCCGGCGGAACAGCTGGTAGTTTCAAACTGCAGGCCTTAAAGTTAGCAGCCAGACTCATAACCACTATGCTACCAGAGCGCCTTGCGATACTACAACTCCCAAAGTTCCTCGCTCAGCCACAATCCCCTTAGAGTCGGCCGCTCAGAGTTCTGGGACTAGTAGTCCGCGGCCTATTTACCCAAGTTAGAAATAGGGGCCCTGTGGAAACATGAAGAGGTAAGGGCTTGTCTGAAGAGCAAGCGGCGAGGGGAGCTCTGTTCTACCTTTTAACTCTTAAAATGGGTTGCATTCTTTTCTGATTTGGTTGTGTCACGTTCTCGGGGTGCGGTTTCATGTGAGCGTTTAGACAAAGGAGAAGGGAGGAGGGAAGACGGGGGAGGCAGGCCTGCAGGGTGAAGTTCAGGAAGGGCCGAAACGGAGGCCCCTTTATGTAGGAATGCCATCCCGGTACAGGCATTTAGGCCAAGTCGCTGGCCATAGGAGCTGTATGAATGCTGTGGCATCATCCTTTTTCTGACATCCCCACTCCGACCTCAAGCAAAAGGGTCTTGGCTGACCGATACCCTTCCCTGGAGATAGCCAGGACAGCCCGTGCTCTTGCCACACCGCCTCCACCTAGGCGTGGATCCATTCATTTGCAATCGTGTCTTAAAGGAAAGTTGCCAGAAAGCGTGCTTTTAAATCCGAAAGTGAGAAAGTGATACTTTGTTTTGTTTTGTTTTTTTCTTTTACAAATCTAGAAGGCAAACACAAAACCCACTTGATGTATGATACAAAAAAACAAAAGTATTGCTTCGAGCAGTTCCCCCTACTGGTTCTGCAGTAAATGGCTGCTTCTGCGGAAATGGTCAGTGTGGAGAGCCTGAGCCTTCTCACATTTAGACCAGCACACATACCACCTTTTAAAAGGATCCTCATTCAATTAGTTTTGTATTCATTCTGCAAGTAAAATCATCACAGTGGAATAGTACAGCACGCTTAAAATAGCAGTATGCTCCCCTGCCCTGTCAGAGCCATTTGCATCTTAAAAAAAAAAAAAAAAAAAACTTTCTGATTTTCCCTGCCTAGCAAAAACCTACTTTATTTTTTTTTTATTTATTTTCTTAAAAATGCATCATATCTCATACATGCAAAAAAATGCATAATATATGTATACAGTTTAAAGACTAATAAGCATAATTTATATCCACTACATTCAAATCCACTATGAGCTTAAGAAATACAACATGACCAGTACCTAAGAGGAGTCCTAGTGTGGTCTTGTAGGATAAACATTGGGCTGCTAACCGCAAGGTCCGCGATTCAAACCCCACCACAGCTCCTCGGACACCCTATACAGGGTCGCTGTGAGTCGGAACCGACTCTGCTGCACATATCCAAGGCACTTAGAAGTCCCCAGTGTGCCCCTCCTGACCTTTTCTCTTCCCTTCCTCCCCGCTGAGCTAACCACTGTCCTGAATCTTGAGTTCATCATTCCCTCGCATTGTAAAAAGAGGAAACATTGAATAATATTTTAATGTATCCCTTAACAAAACGTAAATGCTGTCCATTTTCACCTTTATGTAACTGAGCTCATCGTTTATGAATATTTATGTGCCTTGCATTTCTTGTTCAACATTTCTTCTTGACATTCATCTTTTTTGAGGTTACTGTATTAACTCTGTTTTATTCATGTGGAAAGGAGCCCTGGCAGCATAATGGTTTACACGTTAGGCTGCTAACTGCAAGGTCAGCAGTTCAAATCCACCAGTGGCACCTCTGGAGAAAGATGAAACTTTCTGCTCCTAAAAAGATTTACAGCCTTGGACACCCAATACAGGAACACTCTGAGTCAGAACCGACTCCATGGTGCAGCACCACCATTCATGTGGACGCCACTTTAAACGTAGCAAGAACTTGTTAAATAGTAAATAAAAACTAGGCACTAAAAGGGAATTTTAATACCCCTGGGCCTAAGGATATCTTTTAAATTCTCAAAATACGTCCCAGCCTTGTACAGTATGGGAATCTTTCTTATAGGGGAGACTTTTTTTTTCAGTGTTTTATTGTGAATTATGTGATAGTTTACATGGGAGAACATTAGTTTTACATTCATCGTAATATCATTTCATTGCCATGGTTACAATCCCCTCCATGCATCAACCAACCAAAGGGTATACCCTGCAAGCCTGCCTCCTGGTTGTCAGCACACAGCCCCTCTCCCTTTCTGGGTCTAAAGTCATAGGGGAGACTTTTTTGTAGGCTTCATCATAACCCTAGTAGTAAAGGGCTATTTCATAAGAAGGATATTTAATATTTATTTTCCCTGTGCAGTTAGCTTAGCCCTGGTGTGATGCTATAGGATAAACATTGGATTACTAACTATGCTAACTGCAAGGTCGGCTGTTGAAACCCATCAACTGCTCTCAGAAACCCTATGCAGGCTCACTGTCAGAACCGACTTGATGGCACGCAGCAACAACATGGAGTTAGTACATTTTTGTTTTTTCTCATTTGTTGCTGCATACTTCAATGGTCCTGCTGTGTTTTTTATATCTACACTTGTGTAGAGTTAGTTCATGTTAGCATTCCCTAGATGTCTATCTACACAGCAGTGCCTAGGCTATAAAATGTTATGGCCTTTACATGTCTTTTAAAGAACCCTGCTGGCACTTTAGGATAAGCACTAGACTGCTAACCCAAGGTCCGCAGTTCAAACCCACTGGAAACTGTCTGCTCCTGTAAAGATTTACAGCCTCGGAAATCCTATCTAGGGTCAATATACGTTGGAACCAACTCTGGTAGTGGGTTTGGTTTAGGTTTGGTTTTCTCTATACTCTCCTTCAAAGATCTCATCTGCTCATGCAGTTCCAAATCCTGTCAACACAGATGACCTTTTCAAGTACCATGCTGTGCCTCAGACTCATCTAAGCAACAATTCTCTCACATTTCTCAGCTTCCTTTTAGCCAATATCACATGTGCTCTCACTTCAGATTTAATGGGTCTTTGAAACAGTCCTCATACTTCATGCCTGTGTTTTGATAGTGATGGGTAGTTGACTCAACATGGCTAAAAACAATACTGGCTTTTCCTTTCCCAAACTACTAATTCCATCTGGAACTTCCTCTTTCATCATTAAAACCATTGCTCTCCCAGCTACACAGCTTGTCATTTTGGAATTATCTTTGACCTCTATTTTACTCCTACCTTTAGAAGGCCTCTGGCATCTAACCCTTGCTTTCATTTCCATTGTTGTTGTTGTTAAGTATTGTAGAGTCGGTTCTGACTCACAGTCTACCCGGTATAGGGTTTCCATGGAGGGACTGGTGGCTTTGAACCTGTATAGGATTTCTGAAAAGCGGCTGGTAAGCTTGAACTGCTAAGCTTGTGGTTCAAGCTGACCTTGCAGTTCAGTACATAAACTGGCAGTGCCACACCAGGACTCCTTCATTTTCATTGTTGTTGTTGTTAAGTGCCATTGATTCTGTTCTGACCATAGTAACCCTGTATAGGGTTTCTGAGGAGTGGCTGATGAACTTGAACTGGCTATTCAAACCGGCTTTGCAGTCCAGAGCATTAACCCACAGCGCTACACCAGGACTCCTCATTTCCATTAGCACCAGTGTATTCTAGACTCAAGTAGGCTGTTCAAGCTCACCATCTGCTCCTCGGAAACCCTATACAGTGTCGCTATGGGTCGGAACCAACTCGACGGCACTTCACAACAATTCTAGACCTTATCACATTATACTTCATAAACTTCAAAGTTGTTATTGTTAAGTACCGGAGTCGGTTCCGACTCATAGAGACCATGCACAGGGTTTCCGAGGCTGCAAATCTTTATGGGAGCAGAAAGCCTCATCTTTCTCCCGCGGAACAGCTGGTAGTTTCAAACTGCCGACCTTGAGGTTAGCAGCCAAATTCGTAACCACTACGTTACCAGAGCTCCTTAGCTTCCTAAATAGCCCTTTTGGTTTCTTCCCCTGTAATCTGAGGAGCTCTGGTAACGTAGTGGTTGCGAATCGGGCTGCGAGCCTTAAGGTCGGCGGTTCGAAACTACCAGCCGCTCCGCGGGAGAAAGATGAGGCTTTCTGCTCCTGTAAAGATTTACAGCCTCGGAAACCCTGTACAGGGTCACTATGAGTCAGAACTGACTCCACAGCACATAACCACCACCACGCTGCTAGAGCTCCTTAGCTTCCTAAATAGCCGTTTTGGTTTCTTCCCTTGTAATCTAAGGAGCTCTGGTAGCGTAGTGGTTACGAATCAGGCTGCTAATCTCACAATCGGCAGTTCGAAACTACCAGCATGTTCCATGGGAGAAGGATGAGGCTTTCTGCTCCCGTAAAGATTTACAGCCTCGGAAACCCTGTGCAGGGTTACTGAGTCGGAACCGACTCCACGGCAGGTAACAACAACAACAATCCATATAGTAAGGTCCACGCCCCTTTTGTTGTTGTTATTTACTATTGAGTCAGTTTTGACTCATAGCAACCCTGTATAGGGTTTCCAAGGAGGGACTGGTGGCTTTGAACCACTAACCTTGTGGTTCACAGTCCAGTGCTGATTGTACAGCGCCATGCCAGGACTCCACTTAGTTGATGTATTTAAGGGCATTCACACTCTGAGTCTCATTTATTCCTCCAAGATTATCTCCCAGTACTCCCTTGCATGGGAGCGCAGTGACTCTGTACGATAAGCACTGGACTTTGAACCACAAAGTCGGTGGTTCAAGCCCACCAGCTGCTCCGCAGGAGATAGATGAGGCTTTCTGCTCTTGCAAAGATGCATAGCCTCAGAAACCCTATAAAGTGTCACTATGAGTCAGAACTGACTCAAAGGCACTTTACAACTCCCATACATGAATACCAGCTAAACCGAACTGCTTGTTCTCCTGTAGTACATGTTTCTGACTTCATGCATGTTCTCCCTCTTCTTCTTTCCTTTGTCACACCTCATCCTTCAAATGCAACCCTAGGTCCCAGTGATCTCTTCCTTCTGTGAACCCCTATTCATTTGGCATATGCTTCCTTCATCTTTGCTTCTTTGCGTTGTCTCTGTCAGTGTGTGTGTGCAAGCTTCTTGAGGATAGGGACCATGTAGAAACATCTTTGATTTCCATCATTACCTATGCATCTGTGTCATAGGGGTTTTTTGTTTTGTTTCTTTTTTGCAACCGTTTTATTGAGATATCATTCACATACAAGCTTTTTCCACTTAGAATATTGTTTTTATTCATGCTCTTCTATTTTTTAATAGGCATTTAGTAAATGCCTTTGGATTGAGTAATAAAGCACAGCACCTTCTTGGAGAAGTATCTCTGAACAAATATGGCCACTAAGGGTAGAGAATATAGATACGACTATAATTTCACTAAGAGGCTCTGCTAGCGTAGTGGTTACAAATCGGGCTGCGAACCGCAAAGTAAGCAGTTCAGAACTACCAGCTGTTCCGTGGGAGAAAGATGAAACTTTCTGCTCCCATAAAGACTTACCGCCTCGGAAACGTGGTTCAGCCAGGGTCGCTATGAGTCGGAACTGACTCCACGGCACACAGCCACCACCACCATAATTTCACTGTCTCCTACTTTCTGTATTGCATTCTTCTATTTATTCCAGGGTAAACAGCTGTGTGAAGAGTGATGAGCACATCCTGGAGGAGTTGGAAACAGAAGGAGAGAGGCAACTGAAAAGCCTCCTTCAGCATCAACTGGATACCTCTGTCTCTATTCAAGAGTAGGTATTGATTTTTCCAACGAGTCTGAGTATCACCGTGGCTCACCTCCGGGTGACAGACCCCTCTTAAAGTCTGGAAGGAACACTCCTCTCCCACCCCATTTGCTGGGCAGACTTCTACTTATTAGGCAGGATTTTGATTCTGTATCTCTGCCTGTAAGAGGCCTTTCATATCCCACTCAGTATGGGCTAAATAACTTCTCGGTATCCTGTATTTCCTAGCTCCCTTTATTTCCCCTAACATAGCACTTATAACCCAATATTATCAATATCCTGCCTCTTCCACAAAAGTGGAAACATATTCTTTCCTGTGTCATTGTTAAATCCTCAGTACTTAGCAAAGTGTCTGAGGTAGAGTAGGTTCTTAGAACTATTTGGTGATACATTCATTTATAAATCTTAGAAGGCACTATTGATGGAGTGAGTCCCTTGTCACTGCAGCCTAGAAATAGGATGTAAGAGAAAAAATTGATGATACATTTCTTATGCCTCTTATAATGGCGATCCCCCATTTCTGTGAATTTTGGTAAACTTCAGAGGTTCTTACTCCCCTCCTTCTTGTTTTGCAGATGTATGGCTAAGAAAGAGAGTTTTGCTCCTGGTACTGTGTACAAGCCCTTTGGGAAAGAAGCAGCTGGGACTATGACATTGTCCCAGTTCCAGACACTGCACGAGAAGGACCAGGAAACTGCTTCTCTTAGGGAACTAGGGCTCAATGAAACAGAAATCTTAATCTGGAAAAGCCATGTTTCCGGTGAAAAGGTGAGTAGAGCAATGAGGAGCAGAAGTCTTCATGGGTCATTGAGAACCTTGGCGTTTTTAGTTCTCACAAAACTGAACTCCGTGTCTAGATCATCTTCACTTTCTTGGATAGGGACCTTGGTAAAAGAGAAGCTATTCTTGACTTTTGGCTAGTAGTTCCATAAATGTTCAGATCTGGGATCTGATACTCCTCTTATTTATTACTTAAGGATCCAATGATCCTCATTTTCAGGGTATGTCCTCTGTGATATATGCCATCTCGTTTTCTCTGGTTTTAGAGGACAAGACTGAGGGCAACCCCTGAGGCAATACAGAACCGTCTTCAAGATATTGAAAAACGGATCACGGAGCGCCAACACATCCTTTGCTTGCCACAAAGATTTGCTAAGAGCAAACAGCTGACTCGGCGGGAAATGGAAATCGAAAAGTCTTTATTTCAGGGTGCTGATCGTCACTCCTTCCTTAAGGCTCTTTATTACCAAGGTATGTGATCCCCACTGACTTTGATACGCCCTTTCACTGAGAGAAAGACTGAACATCAGGGCATTAAACTTGAGGAGTTGGTGAAGCGAATAGGGAAAGACAATTAAGAAACTATTTCTGCTCTTGAGGAAATTATAATCCCATGGGAGAGATAAATGTGTAAGCAGATAGTTGCAGTACAACTTGGAATTTGCTGTTAGAGAGACTTGCATAATGCTGAGGGAGCACAGAATATGGAACATCTTTGTATAGCTGGGGGAGTCAAGAGTTGACATTTGCACTGAGTCTTGAATGGTCAACAGGCATTTTTCAGATAAAGGCTAAAGGACATTGCAGATACAGGTGAATAAGAGTATGATTGTGAAAGAATCTAGTGTGTTTACGAAACAATAAAAAATTCAATATAGCAGGAATCTAGGGCATGATGGGAGATGACAATGGAAAAGTTGGTTAGGCTAGGTTGTGAAGGCTCTTTGTTGTATTGTTAGGTGCCATCAAGTCGGTTCTGACTCATAGCAGCCGTGTGTAAAGTTTCTGAGGAACAGCTGGTGGGTTTGAACTGCCAACCTGCGGTTAGCAGTCCAGTGCCTATCTTACAGTGCCACACCAGGACTCTGAAACGTCTTTAGGCTCAGCTATAAATTAGCACAAACTATATAGGTTAGTAGTATGTGTCTTAATCAGAAAGTATTAGTCTAACAGATATGTGCTACTAGGCACTTGGAAGGTTCACAGAAGATTCAGAAATTGTTCCTGACCTATGCCAATTGTAGTCTGTTTAGAGAGATAATATTTAGTGACAATACTAGATACAGTTCTTAGGTACTACAGGAATTCAGAGGAGGGAAATGTCACAGTATACTGGTTGCAGAAGAAGTCTTCTCAGAGAAGTTAAGGTGTAAGTGTTTTTTTTGTGGAGCAGTAGGATAAGCACTGGACCCCAAGGTCTATTTGAACCACAAGGTCAGTAGTGGTGCAAACTCACCAGCTGCTCCTCAGAAACCCTATACAAGCTCGCTGTGAGTTGGAACCGACTCCACGGCACTTAACAGCAACGAAGCAATAATATTCTTTTCAAGTAGAGGATAGACACCAATTAAGAGAGATACTATGAACACTAGGTGTTTGGGAAAGCTGTGGGAAAGAAGGTCAGAAAGGTAGGTTAGAATCAAATATTGGAGGATTTTATAAAAAGCAAATATTATGAATTTTATTTGGTAGGTAAAATAGGTTCTATATTGAGTTGGTAGTTTGAGTATGGCTGAAAGTTTATAAGCTCAGAGTAACAATGATAAAAGAAATATTTGAAAATGATTAATCTGGTGGCCATAAATAGGGTGAGAGAGGAGGAACTGCAGACAGAGAATGGTTAGGAGGCATTTCATTGAGCCATGAAGATCTGGTATAGAATGATGGCAATGAAATTGGAAAGAAAGGTATGGTTGTAAAAGAGACATTACAGAGGAAGAATTGATAAAGCTTGTTGACTAAGATTGTAGGAAGATCAATGGAGAAGGATGTGTCAAGGATAACTCAGATGTGTCAAGACTGTGGGACATGCTTAAAGCTTTTATGGGGAAATTTTGTGGAAAAGAAGGTGAGTTTTATTGTCAACATGTTGCATTTGTAGCAATAGCAGGATCATCAAATGCAGATATTGGGGAGGCAGTTGGAAATGCAGCACTGAAGCACAGAACAGAGGTCAGAACTATATATATAGAACAGAGAATCATCTACGCTTAAATTATAGTTAAAGCTATGCGAATGAATGAATGATTTTAGACAGAGAATCCATAGACATGGAAGAGCTGTAGTAAATGAAGGAAGGAAGGAAGGAATAAACAAATGAATGATTTTTGTAGAGAAACATAATGGCATACTGATTTGAGCATGGACTTTGGACGCTAACTGAGATGTTGAGTAAATTACCTCTGTTTTAGTTTCTTTATCTGTAAAATGGGAATATCCATATTAGCGATGGGGAATAAACCAGGTAATACTTGCAAATCACTTAGAACAGTACCTGGTGTTTGAGGGGAGGTATATGAATCTGTTCTGTTTCCTGTGTTTGAAATTCCTTGCTTGAAACCTTCACAGCATGCCACAAAAAGACAACTGCAGACAAGTACATGACCTCAATGAAGAGGAAGATAAAATTAGGCACAAAAGGCAAATTGAGGGCTTTCTTATAGTGTTAGATGTAGGAATATAGCGTAGGATCCTAGACTTCTAACCTGAGCACTTATTTAATTCCATATTCAGTAAAGGGCAATAATCAGGAAATTATGCAGAGGGAACGTTATTATCCTGATATGGGATATTAAAGAGAGGTGACAGTAGTAGAAATTATAAAGCTGTACATTTAGTGTTATTTTTTACTCTGTGCCTTTAAGTTATTGTACCAGATGACTTTAAAGATCTCTCTCACAACTCATTCTGAATGTTTTATTCTTCAGAAAAGTATAACTATTGATGATAGTAATTATGAAAATAAGAATAGTTTATTTTAGTTTTTAGACTAACTTATAATAAAATTGGAGTCCTGGTGTGGTGCTGTGTGCTAATGTGCTAGACTGAAAAGTCGGTTTGAACTGCAAGGTTGGTGGTTCAAGCTCACCAGTCGCTCCTTGGAAACCCTCTACAGGGTCGCTATGGGTCTGAACCGACTCGGCGGCATTTTACAACAACAACATAATAAAATTGACTGGTTCTTGTTTTGTTGTTGTTGTTGGTTAATATAACCACTACCACAATCAGACAACCAGTTACACTGCCATAAAAAAATCTCTCATACTACCCCCAGCCTCCACCCATAATTCCTGACAACCACAGATTCATCACTGTAATTTTGTCTTTTAGAGAATGCCATATAAATGGATTTGAGACTGGCTTCTTTCACTCAGCATAATGACTTTGAGATTCATCCAAGTTGTGTGTATCAACAGTTCATGTATTGTACTGAGTAGCATTGTATTGTATGGATGTACCAAAGTATATCCATTCACCCACTGAAGTGCATGTGGGTTGCTTCTAAGTTTTGATGATTATGAATGATACTGTATAAATATTCTGTACAAGTTTCTGTGTGGACTTAAGCTTTCATTACCTAGGTGTGGGATTACTGGGTCATATGATAAATGCTTGTCTGAAAGAAACTGCCAAATCATTTTCTGATCAGAAATGGGTGAGAGTTCTATTTGTTTTGCATCTTTGTCATCACTCTATTGTTGGCATTTATTTTAGTGACTCCAATAGGTGTTTGGAGTCCTGGTATGGCACTGCGAGTTAATGCCCTGGACTGCAAGGTCAGTTTGAACCGCAAGGTCGGCAGTTCAAGCTCACCAGCTGCTCCTCTGGTCACTATGAGTCAGAATCAACTTGATGGCACTTAACAACAATAATAGGTGTATAGTGGTATCTCATTATACCACTACAGTGAATTTGCATTTCTTTTCTGACTAATCATGTTAAGCATCTTTGTATGTGTCTGTTTGCCATCCTCCTAAAGTATATATTCAAATCTTTTTCTGTTGTTTTAATTGAGTTGTTTATTTTCTTCTTGTTAAATTTTGAGATTTCTTTATCTATTCTAAAGAAAACTTTTGTTGGATATGTGACTTACAAATATTTTCTCATAGTCTGTAGCTTGTCTTTTCATTTTCTTGAACAGTGTCTTTCACAGAGCGAGTGTTCAAAATTTTGATAAAGTATAGATGATGATTTCTTCTCTTTTCTGGATTGTCTTTTTGTTGTTATGTCTAGGAACTCTTTACCTAACAGCAGGTCATGAAAATCTGTGATTTTCATCTGTGATCTGTTTTGACTTGTTTAAGTAAGACATCAGATTTAGATTAAAATTCACTTTTTGCATATGAATATCCAATTGTTCTAGCACCAATTTGCTGAAAAGACTATTCTTTCACCATTTACTTGCCTTTGAATTTTGTGAGAAATGAATTAGCCATGGTGGTGGTGGTGGTTGTGTGCCATCTTGTCAGTTTTGACTCATAGCAACCCTGTATAGGGTTTCCAAGGCTGTAAATCTTTACAGGAACGGAAAGCTTTCTCCCACAGAGCGACTAGTAGATTTGGACTGCTGACCTTTCGGTTAGAAGCCCAGCTCACAAACCACTACACTACCAGGGCCAAAATCATAATTAATGGTGAAAGATTGAAATATTTCCTTGTGAGGTCAACAATAAGACAAGCATGTCTACTACTTGTATTTACAGTAGAATGAAGTCATAATTCATTAACAAAAAGTTATTTAGGAAATGTACAAATATGAGGAAAATAAACAACACTCTACTGAATAGTAAATGGATCAAACAGAAATCATACAAAAAAAGCTAAAGCTTACGTTCAGATGAATTAAAACAAAAACACAACATGCCAAAACTTACGGGATGCAGTGAGTGAAAGCATTGCTTAGTCGAAATTTTATAGCTATAAACTCACATATTAACAAAGAAGTAAGATCTCAATACAGTAACTGAACTTATGATACTGCAAAAAGAAGAGTGAATCTAAGCCGAGTGAAATTGAAGGAAGAAAATGAAGATTGGCATGGAAATAAATGAAATAGAGAACAGAAAATCTGTAAAACTGAAAGTTGGTTCTCTGAAAAGATCTATAAAACACACAGTCCTTAAGCTAGACTGACCAAGGGGTCATTTTAAATTACTTAAGTTACCAGCTCTACTCTGGTTCTTCTGATATGGTGCTATAGGAATAGTACTGGACCGTGATCCACAAGGTCAGCAGTTCTAACCCACCAGCTGCTCCTTGGAAACCCTATACGGGGTCACTATGAGTCAGAACCGACTCAACAGCATTTAACAACAAATCTGGTTCTTATTTTATTTTTTAATCCTTTCTTCCAATCTTTGCTTTCTGATGGAGTGTTTAATTCATTTACATCTAACACTTTATTTTGTTTAATGTAAATACTGATGTCTGCCATTTTGCTCTATATTTTCTGTATTTCTGTGAAGCCAGAG